AGCTATTGTTGATATACGTGCTACCAGACTTGGTATGACAGTGTCGCGCCGTCAATGCAATGACATACTCATGTTTCTGGACAGTCTTGTGAAAGATATTATGTTCAAAATGTGAGTAATTATTGTGCAGCTAAATTTTGAGCTTACCAGTGGATCCAGAGGGAGGACAAAGCCTTTGTAGGATCACACACAGCTTTGGCTTGGTTACGATCCCTCTAAATGCAAGGCACAAAAAGGATTGAGTGGATAATAATCTTAATGAGCGTTCAGAACTCGACAAAAGAAAGGATCGACTGGGATGAGTAATACTTGATAAATTTGAGGAGGTAAAAGACTGAATGCAGTCCAGTAAATTAGTGAGGGGAACGACCTAATTATTGGTCATCCGCAGTGCCTATAAATTGCGATCATTTCATTGCTCGAACGAAAGGAGACTACAGTTAAAGGCAGATTCTGCACGCTCGGGAGACCCGAAAGTGGATTAGATGGAGCGTGTTGCTCGACGATAGGTAAAATTTCTGNTCAGGGACTTGGGACGAGAGCGAGTACTATCAAAGTCCGATGCAGCTTTTGTTCTTACTGGTTATTGTGACTCTATAGTACTGCCCGCAGATAAATTCACTGTGCTGATGAAAGCAAATGCGGCTGCTAGGAAGGGTAAAAATGGTATCAATTATCGGGAGCGATGGAGTATTAGGGCTCATCGGAAGCTGCGTGGCTGGACCTCTGAATACGTTGTAGTGGGGTTAGCGCTAATGGGGCAATGAGAGGGGATTATCATGCCATGAGGACGTCATTGTAAGTAATGGCGGTCGATGGACAAAAACGGTCGATGGTCAACTTACCTTTCTCATGAGACTGGCTAATAGGAGTGCCATGACTGTCTTTATTGCTGCATCAGAGAGCTTAATAGCCATCTTCGTAGCCAACGGACTCGGATTAAATTGTGCTAGGTAGCCAGTTGCAATCCTGGAGTTCAAATGCCAGTGGTCTCCATTTCTTCTTGTGTTTTTCTTCCAGAGCTTTGGAAAACTGTACCAGTTTATTCTTGGGTATCCCGATTACAACATAACATTTGCTCTAGGACTTGCTGCTAAAATATGAGAGCTTTCTCTTTCCTGACAATTGGCGCGCCCTTATTGCGCCCTCAAAGTAGAGGCAGCCGGTACAGACAAACGGGTCAAGATACCTGAAAATTGCTTATCTGGTCGCTCTGCAAACCAGTATATCAAAAATTCCGCCAGGCTTGATAGGTGTGACACATTGTATTCCACGTCTATTATTAGGTGGGCAACCATTTCGTCCACATCTGTTGTGGTCTACCGTAGTTAACAGCAGCTCGCAATGAACAGGCTCATGATTGAAAGTAAGTGCAGCGCAGAAATGGGGTGCACTCTGAGAGATATTCTTACGGAAAGGTAATTTATGGTGGAAAAATCAGTGATGCAGATGTTAGTCAGATGTTGGGTCTCTAAATAGATTATAATGCTGAAAAATTCTTCCAAAAAATTCGCGCGAGCGAAAAACTGCTTTTATTCTGACTGTAGCATTATGCCCATGCTTTATGTTATGCCACAAGCAAGCTGACAGTAAACGATATTTCAGTATATCATCCTCAGCTCGTCTAAAAAGGCACGGTTAGTGGTGGTCTGCTTTGGTAAGGGGGTAAAATCTTCTGGAGACCACATTCGGTGGTCTGAAAAGCCGAGTGCATCCCTCAGACACTCTAGCACAATAGGGGGTGTACTGTCTCGCCGAGTGGTCCATGTGGAAATAGGATGTGTCGGTCGTATCACTACGACTGACGGGAAATCTGAGAGGGTGGTGGTCACGTTCTTGACTTTGTCTTACTACGACTGACGGGAAATCTGAGAGGGTGATGGTCAAATTCTTGACTGTCTGTCGAATAACTGTCATTTTGATGCAGCAACACCCGAGACTGCGCTATCGTAGCGTTTGAACAAACAAAATGAGTTAAATTTGCGTTGCCTAAATCATAGTTCCCGGTGCAAACATTCAGGTGCCCCGAGAGGGTTGACACCCAAGCTGGATTGCGCACATGCTTTTTCTACCGGGCGGTGTAACCACCCGGCATTTAGCAGTTCTGTGTATTTATAGTCCACTCTGTTCCCAGCAGTAAGAAACATTCATCACAGCTGTCTTCCTAGGTTTCCTCCCCATTAACCAACAGTGGCTGTCGGATTACAGCCTACTAGGACAAGGTTTTCTGCTTATACATGTTCTCAAGCCACCGCCGACTGATTTCGACAACCTGCGTAAACACCCGAACAAGTTGGTAGATAAACTTTATTGGTTAAAACCTGGGAGGGATACAGCCATTATTAGGGAGTTGATCGTTCATCGGCGAATTCTGCTGCGCCAAGGCTCCACGACTGCAACTGACGACCTGCCGTCAGTTATCGAGGAAGCTGCACCGCAACCCAAGTGTCGGTCTAGGGACATAGACTCGGGCTTTTGTGTGTTTTGTGACCAGCCATCTAGCGCCAGTAGCCGCTGGTGTGCAGGGGATCGCGCATCATATCATTTTGACTGTTATGATGATGAAACTTACAGGCTGTACAATGACACTGTGGACTTTTCTCAAAGGTGAGTCCGCAGACGAATAATTGATTTTTGGTTCTTTGCCCCATGTCCGTCCAGAAAACGCAAGTGTGCCCGATGCTTGATGTTCTTCTTTCTCGCAGAGCGCGTCTTGTGATGTTGACATGGACCAAAGCAGAGATCTCCAGGACGACGCGTCCCAGAAGTCTGTTTGCGACTACATTTTTGGCTCCGGAGAGGGGCTCGTCGACAAACGTGAGCAAATATCCGACAGCTGGGACCAACGGTGTAGTGTCAGCTAGAGGAACAAGACGACGATGGTTTCGTGTGAACCATACAGTGTTACTCAGCTCCAGACCTCATACACTTCATGTAAGCCCCGTATTTTTGAGACCTTATAGTCAGCAGGCACCAAGCTGCAGAAAATCACGCAATGTGAATCAATCGATGAAGATGGTATTGTGCAAATGTGCCACTACGACACCGTCACGGCTGAAGTGCTCCCCCCATAGGGTAAGTATTTTTCCTAGTTTGTCAGCTGCCTGCATGATAGTTATACTTATGATAGTTGTGTTAGTCGTACGCGTCAGATAGGTTGGTTCAGCTGTCCGCTATTATCGATTACACGGTTGTCTTGACATATTTTATCGGGTACAAAGGAGAAAGCTGCTGTCTAACAACAAAATTGCATGGGTCATTAACAGCTGCAAGCCTTGCGTCCTTCCAAGCTACGACAATAACGAGTGCTTTTTCCGCGATGACAACTCGGAATAGCACTTTGGTATTCCACCAGTCAAGCATTTATAACCAGCAAAAATTATTTACAGAAGTTTTTTCTTCTCAAATTTCGCATCCACAAGGGCCACATAGTTTCTAGGATGCTCAACGAATTATTGCAGGGCAGAACCATCCTCAAATTTCGCCTGTTTTTAACGATTTACATACAGTAGTTCACGATATTTACTAGATCAGGCAAGGTTTCTACGGTCGGTGGTGTTTCAAGACTCGCTCACTTAAACAATCACTCACGCGGATCATTTGCAGAACAATTTATTTTACATTGACATTCTACACTATAAAAACGGCGCAGCTGTCAAGGATTGAATTTTGTTGTGCGAGTACCGATCGGCGCATTTCTTCCTGATGTTCTGTCAGTTCCTCAACCAAAGCGAACTTCCTTCACCTTGGAAGGAAGCACCTATCATGCCAGTCTAGGAAACTGGTAACACAACATCGCCTTCTAGCTGCAGGCCCATTAGTCTCACTGGCGAAACATGTGATGCTTTGAAACTCACCCTGAAGCAAATTATCTAGAATAACCTCACCAACAACAACTCAATACCCCCAGTGCAACAGGGATGTAAGATCCGGACAGTTATGGATCTCACGGGACGATTGCGACTATTGGATTTTACGCAGTTCGCAGCCAGTAGTCAATAGGAGCAGGCGGACGTGGGGCAGCAGATGATACATCGAGGACTGACAGGAACTGGTTCTACAGACAAACGGATTAGTAAGCATCATGAATTAAGAAAACGTACAATCAACAATGACGCAATCAGCAGGAGCGGGAAGTAGTCACTGTCACAGCACGGATTACTATAGGGGCAACAGCAAGTAAGTACCAAACGATGTACAAACATTCATATGGGGGCAGTCTGGCAGTGTGAATTGGCCGTAACGGCGCAGGAGTCGGTACGTTCGGGATGTGAGGGACTGTCTTTCGGTCGGCGTCGACGCAGCCGCTCGTGTCGCGCGACAGGTCAGATTACGCGGTTTCGTCCGTTTAAAACAAAGCTCGGTAAAGGCTATCTGGCAGGCGTGATACATGGGTAATACAAAATAATCAGCCTCTCCGGACGTCAGGTCGGTGCAGTTGCTAGCGCGTTTGCTTGCCGTCCGGAGGGTCCGGGTCCGATACCCGGTCGGGCCGTTTTTACGCCGGAGTAAGCGCTCAAAAATAGGTGCAATCGGGGCGAACCTGCAGGTAATGACAGAGGGGCAAAAAGTATTGACATCACTTACTGAGGGGTAGGCAGACCTTAAGTAGGAACAAAACGGGGGGAAACGAGCAGCAAGAAAACGAAACAGTGTCATAATAAACAGGTGTAAGTCATGTTACTCATGAGTAGTCAGAAAACAAGGAAAGTTACCCTTGTTCACCGTTGATTCACAGGGGGAATCAACAAGGGATATCTTCGTTTGGGGCTCTTAGGTGACGAACGCAAGCTAAGGAATAAAGACTGGTAACGGATGCTAAATTTTCCGACTTTTCAGAGGCGTTCGATGCGGTCCTACACATCCCGCCGTCCCACAAGCTCGGGTCTCACATGATTCAAATAGAAATTTCACGCTGGATTAGATCGCCTCCATCAGGCAGAGCAATTTGAATGAAAGGAAGCTCAATCTACTCCTTCTCGCTGCCGGTCTCTATTGAAGTTCCTCAGCGCTCTCCTTTGGGACTACTGCTGTTTCTACTGTACGTCAACGACCTCCCAGATGTAATTCCAACTCCGTGGATGAGTTGCAATCCTGGAGTTCAAATGCCAGTGGTCTCCAAATTAATGTGGGCACCGCAAAGCGGTGATCCTTCGAGTGGTACCCTCCCCAGAATGACGAAAAGTGCATCCACATGTCATTCGGAGGGGCCTCAGCGAATAACTGTTGGGAGTGGTGAGGGTGGACCAGAAGACATTGTGAGGATAGACCACAAAGTCTTTGGCTGTCTTCGAAAACATCCGGCCGTTGTGTTATTGTAGTATGCGGTGTCTATCAGTTTGATTGATTCACATGTAAGTATTGGTGATGTATAACCTTGCTTACCGGGCTCCGGATAATGAGCTTTTTCTCTGCTTTCCATCCACAGAAATTGTCGTGAACACCCGCCTCCGGAGAATCACTGTCCCCCTGATGCTCCCAGAGGGGGCATGCTACATTGGTCCATCGCATATATTAGTGACTAGAGCGCGAGTTTACTGAGTGAAGGTCCGTGGTTCGAACTCGACCTCTGGCTCTCGACTTCCCCTATCTGGGCTGGGACAACCTGGCGGTCCGCATCCCTCGTGTTTCTTTCTGTCAGCACGGCAGCTAGGTACCGAGAGGTTGCTACAGCTGAATGATGTCTTCGAATGTCAAAATCTGCGTTTCCCAGTCTCAATTTGTGGCCTTCTTGGTCCTCGTGTATGGATATTAAGAATATGAGGTCATGTCTCCCGTTTGAGCAAGGCTCGACCAACAGGTTCTTCCCGTCTACTCACCTGACACATTGCGCGGAAAAGGTAGGAATATTTTCAAACTCATGGCGGACACCCCATATATTCGACAGATTTTCTGGCTTCGTGTAGTTGCTACGTGGAATAACCTTCCTTACTGCATATAGCACCCATTTCAAAGCACATTTGGGCGCCTTCTAGTTGGGTCCCCGCTTAGAACTACGCAATTCTTTCGCTTGTGCCTTTTAGGTGAACAGAAGCCGCTTAACGACAAGAGCAAACCCGATCCGGGAAACTTGGGCGAAATCCCTGATCCTGTGTATCACTCCGTGAATCCATGAAAGACTGTTCACTGTCCCTGACCGGTAGAATGGTCGAAAAACTAATTGAAAAAAAACCAAAGGAATTTTTGTTCTGGAATACTATCTGTTTTCTTTTCACATCAACCTAGTACGATGGAATCTTGAATAATGCAGCCATTGACCAATCTATCTTCACTTGACCTTATGGGGCCTACGTCAGACCTATGGGGCCTACGTCAGACCGCTCCTGGAGTACGCCAACCAAGTTGTCTACTCAGGACGTACGAAAGACGTTACCCTCATTGAGCGTGTCCAGCGGGCCGCCACGAGAATGGTTGCCGGCCTCAAGTCCGTGGACTACGAAACGCGTCTCGAGATGCTTGATCTCTTTCCCCTGGAGTACCGTCGCCTCCGAGGGGACCTAATTCTTACTTACGCCCTGTTTGAACAAAGCTTGGCACACAGGTTTTTTACCGTTGACCCAGCAAACACCCGGCAGGGACATAGTAAGAAAATTTTTAAGCTCAGGGCACACACATTCATTAGAGAAAACTTTTTTCATTTCGGGTAGTAGCTGCGTGGAATGACCTTCTTCCGACGGTTGTACACGCTCCTTCTCGAACCCAATTTAAAGCACTATTAGACAGTTATTTATGCGAATCCTCGCGCTGGCGAGCATACTGCCCCGCGCTGAGAACATAAAGAGCAGTGCTACACCCTTTTTTCACTTGTGCCTTTCAGGTGAACGACAGCCACTGACCGACAGGAACAAAACCGACCCGGGAGACTTGGGCAATAGCCTCGATCCTGTGTATCAATCCGTGAATCCGTGAATCCGTGACCTTGAAACTTTTCAAAAACCCGTCCGTTGTTCATTTGGTCCGCATTTTCTGTTTAAATGACGCAGGGATGGTACGTTTAGGCTAACACAAACAGTGTACATTCCATCCGTAGCCGAACGACATGCGACGTCCTTCAATGGCGCAGAATGTGGAGCTGTATTGCTACCTCGTTACGAAAATTTCATGGAAAGGAAGGTGGGTTGTTCGATCCCAGTCCACTGGTTGAGTCAAACAGAATATTCAACCAGAGTTTACGTGACCAGTTGCGTTTTCTACATTGATGTACAAATTGATGGAGTCATAGGCACAAGTGAAAGAGGATACAGCAACTCTGAGTACTCAGCTTTAGACAGTAAGGTTGCCAGAGCGTCGAAGGGTATTTTGGACAGATTCAGTGTGGACAACTATCGGTGAAAGTTTATTCTACGCCCATACGTTATTCTAAATAGTTCAAATTGTGGGTTACATACCGTCAGAGTCTACGAAGTCAATGTTGACATTGCCGTACAACCATAAAGTTCACTGAGTTATATTTAGAATTTTGGAGTGAAAAGAAGAAGAATGAGTGAATGAGGTAAAGGACGCGGCTATGGCTTATTTGAAGAATCCCGAGTGCATACACTTTTAAAAGCTGCAAGACAATCCCTAAATAGACTGGCAGCACGAAATCCACTGACGTCGATCACACT